AAGGAGATATAGAATCTTCTCTTTTCTGCCACCTAGTGATTATTCAAAGCTTTACAACCCAGATGTGGTAGCCCTATTTTCCATAATCTTTTCACATAGCTTTCTTAATAAGAAAAGCAGAAATGATATTTTTTTTTAAAAAAAAAGACCAGTAAGCTTCACTTTCTCAAGCTTTAAGTACTTTATTTATTTATAAAATGTATATAGCTGCCCATCTCACATGTACGGTATACACAATTTAAACAAAACCATTAAAAAAAAACATTAAATAGAATAAAAATATAAGAAAGGTTTGGAGTATTCCTAAAGGTAAAGTTGAAGCAAAATATTGTGATGGAATCTGATCATCATGTAGGCAAAGTTGTACAACTATTATTAATAGATTAATGGTCTCACTATTCCATTCCACTGTACAGCCAGAAGAGATAAATTTGTGCAATAGAACAGAACAGAACAGAATAGAATAACAGAGTTGGAAGGGACCTTGGATGTCTTCTAGTCCAACCCTCTGTTTAGGCAGGAAACCTAAACCACTTCAGACAAATGGTTATCCAATCTCTTCTTAAAAACTTCCAGTGTTGGAGAATTCACAATTTCTGGAGGCACGTTGTTCCACTGGTTAATTGTTCTAACTGTCAGGAATTTTCTTCTTAGTTCTAGATTGTGTCTCTACTTGATTAATTTCCATCCATTGCTTCTTGTCCTGTTCATGTTTATGTTGTATATACGATTTGAGCAAATGGCTTCAAGGTTAGATTAGCTTCAAGCTTAGATCAGTTACTTGTCCTTATAAAAACTCTCACGTTTTATTAAAACAGACATATGTGGATGTTCAGACTGAGAATGTTACTGAGAAATGAGCAAACGCCACAGAAATAGATTCAAAAGTTTGGAATCCTTTCTGCTGCACACGTATCTAGATACAGCAATGTGAAGAGGACAACCTTTAAAAGTGAAACATCAATCCCTATATTACTGAGCATCCATTACCTTGCATCTTGAAAACTATCCCCTGAGTGATGACTGGCAGATAGCTTAATTGTTTGATGATGATCTCTCTTGACACCCTGTTTCAGATCTTGCTAGCTCTTCTTCTATTCCACCCCTGTTTCTCTCTCTCTTCTTTTTTTTAAGATGTAACTTTTATTGAAAATATTTTACAGCTACAGATACATAAGGAAAGAATTAAGAGAAAAGAAAGATAAAAAGTGAGAAACAGTGAAAAGTTGAGAAAAGAGAAGAAAAAAGAAAAAAAAAATCAAAAGATGTATCTTCCGATTTTCTTTACAATGGTTACGAACATAGTTAGTACCATTTCCACTCTCCCCAATTATACAACATGGTTTCTTTCTTCCAAGAAACAACCCCTTTTATTCAGTAGTTTCCAAAATCATCAGTTCATTTTTGTCCATTTTCAGCAAGAAGTCCATAAAGGGTTTCCAATATTTTTTTGTAAAAGTAGTTATTGTTCCTTCCCTAATCAGAGAAGTCAATTTGGGCATTTCAGCAAGTTCTACCATCTTCACAATCCACTTATTTCTGTCTTCCAATTGTTTAGAAGCATTGCCAAACTAGAGTTATGAGATCAGGATAACAAACATCTAAATAACTATTAGTTAGAGTTTCTATGTATTTGCTTCCATTTAGTTGTCACCCAGGTTTTTGTCATCCAGGTCTGGTAGCACTATGATAGATCACACCAAGTTTGATACTACATCTTGAAGAACTTGGATTCTGCTGTAGTTTCACCGATATAACTGTTTGACTCAGGGGTAGGCTTCAAAAATTTTAGCAAGGGGTTCTCTGTCTGGTTGCTTGGTGGGCATGGCCATGGTGGGCGTGGCCATGTCAGCCTCCTGCACCATGCTGGGGGGCGTTTTTGCCCTCTCTGGGCTCCAGAGGCTTTCCTCGAGCCTCTGGGAGGATGAAAACGGCCTTCCCAGGCTCCGGAGGCGCTTCCATTTCTGGCCTTCCCAAACTTCTGGTAGGCCCGTTTTTTGCCATCCCTGAGCCTCCGTGTGTGCCCTGCACTTACCTGCATCAAAAACGGGCCGTATGGGGACTCCTGAGAAGGGCGGGGTGGGGTGGGTGGGGCCAGCCAGGAGAGGGATTTGGGGGTTCTCCGAACTGCACAGAATCTTAGCTAGAGGTTCTCCCGAACCCCTGCGAACCCCCAGCAGCCCACCCCTGGTATGACTCCTTTTAACAGTGAGGACTAATCAGATATAGGCTATGGGAATTCTGGAGGACTACTACATGGCAACAAAGAGTTTTATTGAGGTTTGGTATCCAGAGGATTAGGTTGTGGGGACGGTGTTTTCTCAGTAATTGGCAAACTGTGCTGAGTAAACAACGTCAGCACAAAGTCCTAATCTCATCAAATACAGGATGTCTGGCAGAGACCCTATATCAAGATATGCAAGGCATGGGGACCCAGCACGTAAGCATTGTTTGTCACAGGAAAGAACATGAGGGGAACACGAGGGATCCATATGGAATTCACGAGCTTTCTTTAGCCAATCAGTATCAGTAAACGTTGATTAATGTTTTGCCATGATAGTTGTAAAATGACAATAAAAGGAAGTCTTTTGAATGGGGTCAGAGTGCCTTGATCAAGGTGCCTTGCCACCGAGGGGCCTTCCCGTGAACCATCTTCCTGCCTACGCATCTTTCTTCATCAAAACAACATTAGGTTGAGTATCAAAAGTCAGACAAGCACTTATTTATTTATTTTATTTATTTGATTTGATTTCTATACCGCCCTACTCCCGAAGGACTCAGGGCGGTGCACAGCCAAACAATAAAACACATACATACAAAATTTAAAAGTAGAATAAAATCAAATTAAATAATTTTGGCCCCGACAAATTTAAAACCCCAAACTTTTAAAACCAATTTAAAATTGAATGTATAAAATACTAAAAGATATTTAAAAATTAAAAATCTTTTATAAAAGAGGGAGAAAATTAGGCCAGGCCCGCCTGGTGAAATAGTAAGGTCTTTAAAGCGCGGCGGAAGGTGCGCAGATCCGGGATCCTCCGTATCTCTGGGGGGAGCTCGTTCCAGATAGTAGGTGCCCCCACAGAGAAGGCTCTCCCCCTGGGGGCCGCCAGTCGGCATTGTTTGGCTGACAGCACCCGGAGGAGCCCCTCTCTATGGGAGCGTACCGGCTGGTGGGAGACTATTGGTGGTAGTAGGCGGTCCCACAAGTACCCAGGTCCTAAGCCATGGAGCGCTTAGAGAGTCAGAAGCACTTAAGGGTTCATTTCAAAAGAGCTGATCTTGGGAATTCATCTGGCTCAGCATGCCTGGATAATCTTGTGGCTGGATCATATTTGATGAGCACCAGCTGAGTTGACTGTCCATTCAGTGCATCATGGATATGCAGCTAGATCAAACGTAATGACCACTGGTGGACTAAAAATTGGTTAGTTCTCTATTTTAAGAGTGATCCATTGTTGGAAGCAACAATTGTTATTTGTGATCCTATTTGACTGATTATCTTGTGGCATAAATACTGACTGCCTGATTGTTATTGTTATTGTCATTACCTGTATGATATACTTGTTCTTCCTTCTTTATCCTTTGAAACATAAGAAGCATTTGAATTAATTTAGTTCTTGCTATTTTAAACTGATCTACATTTTCATGTTTCTTTCAGGCGATGAATAAATCTTATTGGTGCTCCCAGCCCTTCAAATATTGCTAAGTAAAACTTTATTATTACTCATCATACTTTATTATTGGTCATGATGGCTGAACAGTTATAATTTAGCATTATCTGGAGAGCCACTTCATAACTTATAGAGATGTATGTGACTATTCTCAGCTTAAGCAACATACTGAAAAGGAGATGAATCTGGAAAACTCTAATAATAATTTCTTTCTTCTTAGATGAATTAGGAGAAGGTTGCTTGCATTGTTTGGAAACACGGAATCTCTGATTTCTATAGGTACCTGTAATCATTCTTTTGAAGCATTTGCCAGCCTCTGATCCAGCTATCCTTCTTATTTACATTTATTTTATTTATTGATTTTATTAAATTGGTATGCTACCCATCTCTTTACCAAGTGAATCTGGACAGTTATTGTTACTGTTATTGAGTTACTAAACTGTTACGAGTTGTTAAGCTATAATTGAGATATTGTTTTAATTTTAAATTTATGAAATTTATGTTTACTTATATTGTTGTATTGTGACTGTTTTATTTCCATAAACTACAGAGAGTCAGAGGATTATAGTGGCTTAAAATGTAATAGCAAAACAAATAAGCAGGTCCAAGTTTAAAGCAAAGACAAATAATGGAAGACCTGAAAATTTTAAGCAGAGCCCTGGTGATCATTTAATACCTGCAGAAATCAATCAACAGTATTTATAGCAATTGAGTTAATGTAACAGTAATTAAATGAATGTTTTTCTTCCACCCCTGCCTACTGATAAACTTATTGTCAGGATGCTGTAATCAGGACTGATTGGGGATCTTCTGGATGTTTGGATATGTGCTATATTAGAGGGATGGGATAACTAAACAGTCTGTGTGCAGGATATACCTACAAGCATCAGCGTTTTCTCTGAGAAGAGCATTGTTTCTGGGTGTGTCGGTGCATTTTGTGTGTGTGTGTGTGTGTGTGTGTGTGTGTGTGTGTGCATAATCTCTTCATATTACAAAAGTATAGAAATCTTCATTGCATCTCCAACTGTGAACTATTTCATGCTGCATCACAGGGAAATATCTGTGGATAGAGATAAGGCATAGTTTCCTAGTTATCTCTATAAAATAAATGATAGAAAAATAAAACACAACCATTATCACTATGTCACCAGTGGGACAGTAGAGCAGATTTTACCTTTTTTATATTAGTGGAAGTAGGAATATCCTACAACAGATGTGTTTGAATTTACAAATAATTCTGAGGGAACAAAAGACAGTTCTGAAATTAAGTAGAAGAAATTGGCGGTATTTTTTGTGGAAAGAGAACAGAAAGCAAAGAACAGAAAGAAAAGTTTAAGCTTTTATTCATGGCAAAAATTTAAAAGACTTTTTAAAATTTAAAATCTGAGTAGTATTCTGTGTTGTTATGTCATCACCTCAGACAATTCCCCACTGACACCATGATGCAAAGGCAGGGACCTTCTTGAGATATCAGGCAAAACTGCCTGATTCATTTTGTGAATTAGATCTGGAGCTTCAGAAATACCTTAATCTGATTTAAAGTCTGTAGAGATTCTCAGTCATCCAAATCATGGTTGTCCCAAAGGTGCTTTTTTAGGAGGCAACTGGACTTTGTTTTGTCTTTTGAAGATGCTTCACTTCTCATCCAGCATGAAACCAGCATGGCTGCATAAAGAACTCTCTGACAAATTGAAAGGCAAAAAGGACAAGTATAAAAAGTGGAAAGAGTGGCAAATAACTAAGGCAGAATATCAGCAAATAGCCTGAGCCCGTAAAGATGAAGTGAGGAAAGCTAAGGCTCACAATGAACAAAGGCTTCCAGGTAAAGTAAAAAATAACAAAAAAAGCTTCTTTCAACATGTTAAAAACAAGAAAAAAGTCAAGGAAACAATTGGCCCATTGCTGGGAGAAAGTGTCAAGAAGGTGACAAGCAACAGGGAGAAAACAGGATTTCCTTGAAATCAAGCAGAGTAGAGATTCTTCTCTGCTTGATTTCAAGGAAATCCTGTTTTCTCCCTGTTGCTTGTCACCTTCTTGACACTTTCTTGTCCATCTAGCCCCCTACTTTGACTTCTGCAACATCTCTGCAAAGGTTTTTACCTTACTAGTGGCCTGATCCTCTTTACAGTGAATGGTAAACTTCTGACTTTTTGCACACAAAGCTTGTCTTATATCCCTGAGCATTGTGCTGCATGGCAAGGCAGCTCTTGGCACTCTTTTCCATCCAACATATTAGATTGTATAATTTTACATAGGGCTGGTGGCCTGGATTGATGGAGCTAGCTGCGTGTGCTAAATTATGCAAGGTATGTGACTCCCATAAAAGACCATATGCAAGCATAGAACATATTTGCATCCTACTTTCTGAAATGGCATGGTTGTTGCTATTTTCATAAATTACTCAGCACCATGGGGCCACCAGTGTTTGGCCACGTAAAAAGGAAAACTCAGAGATTCAAAGAGGAAGGGAGCCAAAGAGCCAGCATTGGCTATGACTTTCTGGAACACATCCATCGCATATTTGGAGACTGTGCTTGTATAGTATCAAGAGCAGAATATTTTCATATGATGGCTGTTTATACACAGTATAGCTGTTTATGCAGCCATGTACACAAGAAACAACTGTGTATCTGATGAGTTGTACATCAGATCAGGCACCATATTTAAACAACCCCCCCCTCTGTAATTGGAATCTTAGCATGTTCGTGTGTATATAGATGCAGCGTATCGAAGAGATTAGATCACAGAACTAATCCAAGTCCCAGAAAACAGAACTTGCATCTCTTTTCTTTTCCTAACTTTTGCAAGAAATCTTTTGCTGCTTATAATATTGCATCAATCATCCTTCCCACCCTTCCAAATACATTGACTATAATCTTATGTTTCCCAGTATGCCAATGGAAATTATGAAAGTTGCAGTTTAATATGGGGATTAGATAAGGAAAGACTTACTAAAACCATATTTTGGACTCCATTTCCTGATGGACTGATGCTGTACTTTTAAACTCAATATTCGGTTAACTTCGGCTGGAAAATGACATAGCAGTGATTGTTGATCACATTAAATCCATTCCACTTAAGCAATGTTAATCCAAAGCCTGCAGCCTTTCACTTTTCTCCCAGATGTGAAATTCCTGTCTGAATGCACTCCCCCTTTACAGGAGACAAATGTAAAAGTTGCATTTGAAAGATGCCAGCTGTGGTCCTACCCCAGGTTTATTCATATGGGACCTTTACTAGGTCAACTTAATACTTGACTACTGCTTATTATCCCATCAGTCTTCAGGGACAACCCATGATCTAATTGCCCAGCATTTATGTTGCCTGGCAACCATAAATACAGAGTAATAATCCTTAAAGGGACAGTGTAGAATTTCATGCCCCTGCAGTGAAGTACACTTCATTTCCCAGAGCACCCTGGGTTTTTTAATTCAGTGAATAAAAATGTGTAATGAATAATTAATTATGTGCTTGAAGGCACAATAGCTGCCTACTTTTGAATATTCATCAGTGGCATTATTAATTCACTAGAATTCCCGAGGAGCAGTAGGATAGGTTTTTAGCCTAGCTGGAGGACTTAACAGATAGTGTTTTGCAACACGAGCAAACTTTTTTTAAAAAAACAGATTTTGTTTGGGAGGGTATATATATATATATATATATATATATATATATATATTTATTTAAAAAACATTTCTTTGCAGGGAAATATATATATATGTACATCCCAGGTACTAGACAGAAATAGGCAAAACTGTAGAATAACAGCTGATTTTATGATCAAGATGCCTTTTCCAACTAAGTGTACTTTACCAAAGCCTTCTCTTAAATGTTTTGAGGCTCAAAAAAAAAAAAAAAAAAGCTCCTTTTTTTTCAAGTGGAGAACTCCCATTGCCATGGTGAAATTTTATGGTCTGAATTTAAACGATTTCCCCTCACCCTCACATTTCCACCCAAATAATTGCTTTTCATGCTGAATTTTTTTTTATGTCAACCGGTCATCAAAAATAAGTAAACAGTATGTCAAGAGAGTGAGATTTAGGGTAGAAATCAAAAACTTTATGCAGTTGAGCAGGAGGGCTCAGAACAGAGTCAAGATGCATTCCTTATTTGGAATTAAAACACCTTTCCCACTATATAGCTCCCCTGGTAAAACTATAAAGGCCAAAAGCTAAAATTAATGCTGCTATTTATAGGAGCTTTATCAGAAGCAAAAGTATTGGCAATCTTATAGGTGGACACAAGAACATGAAAGTGTATTTACAAATGTTAATTTTGTGATTTCCCTCACATGGAAGAGTAAGAATTGTCTGCTATGTAAGGTTTGGGGAAAAAAATATATGACACGGAACTGTGATTCTAAAAATCTCATCTCTGGAAAAAAAAAAAAGTCAGTCAACAGATGAAACGTATATGTGTTTAATGTGCATGTCCACTTTGTTCCATATTGTGGTGGCATGTAATCCAAATGTCAACCCTGGAGCCATCTTTGAGTGTCTTCAGGATTGCCACAGCGAGACTCGCTGGAGCTGTGGGAAAGGGAGGGGTGAGTAGAGATAGCTGAGGGGAATATGTAGCCAAAATAACATTCTTTCTTCTGGGAACCAAGGACACTCTCACCAGCACGTGGAGAGTCATAGATGGGAGGCATCCGGGAGGGGGAGAGAGTCTGATTGGGGCATGTGATAGTTATGTATAAAGTGGGGTAGAACTTTGGATTTTGAACTGGGTGGGGAAAATCCGGGGGACTTCAGATTGGGGTTTTCACCAGCTGTGCCAATATGACATGCCTAATAAATCTATACTTTGAGGAATCCTGCCTTGGAGTTTTGATTTCCTATGGGCTACTATGATTTACTTGAAACCATGACACCAGATTCCCAGGAGAAAGGTAGTGCATTCTAGAGGAATAAGCAACAGTGAAGTTTGGTTTGGATAGTTTGATTGGGAGGAACAGAGTCAAGTCAGCTCCTCCCTAAAACATCTAGAGCATTGTTTCTCAACCTCATCAACTTTAAGATGGATGGACTTCAAAGTTGGCTGAGGAATTCTGGGAGTTGAAGTCTATCTATCTTAAAGTTGATCAGGTTGAAAAACACACTTCTAGAGTATATGTTTAATGATGCAAATAGTTTGCCTTGGTTTGACCAGATTTCTGTCTATATGTGAGGAATAATAAAGGAAACTGTTTAGAAGTAACTGTTTCTTTTTTGGTTCGGTGGAGACTGACAATATTGAGATTAAAACAGTATAAAACATTTCATATTTACAATGCTCATATATATATACGCACACATCTGTAATCATTTTTTTGTATCTGTTTTGGCTGTTAAGGCAAAGACAATAAAAATGGCTAGAATAGGGGTGTCAAACTTGCGGCATCACGGTGGCGTCATGTGACATATTGGGACTCCCCCCCTCACTAAACTGGGTGTAGGCGTGGCCAACATGTGATGCATCTGGCCTACAGGCCGTGAGTTTGACAGCCCTGGGCTAGAAGGTTTAAGCATTTTAGGTGAGGGGTATTACACAGTGGTGGTGTCAGCGTCCCAGCACTGACATATAATAAAGGGGAAGAGAAGCCTGAACTTTTGCCTGCTAAATCCCTTTGAAGATTCTGTCTCCTCGGAGATGGGGAGGGGGGGAGACATTCCTGTGATCTGACGAAGAAGGAATCAGGAAAGTGACTTGGAAGATATCCAATGAGAAGCAGAGAATTGGGGATCGGAAAGGGAGGGATTGGGGGGCAAAGGTCAGTACTGACCGCGAAAGAGTCAGGATCAGATTGCTGTGCTCGAATAAAGAGAAAATTTCCTTAAAGATTGGCAGTTTGGAAATTCATTTATTTTGAGATAGCATCGAAACCTGACAGGTGGGTTGCTACCAGTTCACCCCAGATTGGGTGAACCACTAGCGGCGGTGGTGGGAGGTTCTGCTCACCAAACCGGACATCTCTGTGCATGCGCAGAAGCATCATGCGCAAACGCACATGCATCCACAAGTGAACCGGTAGTGACGGGATTTGAAACCCAGTACTGATATTACAGAAATACATAAACTTATGCATTGAATGGAAAATGTAGATAGATAGATACTACCCTTTGGCAATGTCAGATCATGCACTGAAGCTCTTTGCATGGAGATTCAGAAAGACAGGAGGAGAAATGCTTAGATAAATTATGGAATCCACTTTTAACATATTTGCCAATGGTTATCTGTTGCAATAGTCTTCACAGGGGGATGAAACACATTGATGAAGAACAATCAAAGGCTGTTACACATCTTGGTGTATTAATGGATACTATTTCATGACTAGAATACAATAAGATTGCCAAAAAACAAGTAAGGAAAAGCCCTAATCCTGTTTCCTAGCAGGAAAGTGTACACTTTTCCAGTGTATCTAGTTAATGACTGTGTTTCATAGAATACTAGACCACATAAGCTTTTAGTCTGATCATTTGGTGTTGTCGTATACATTTTTCCCCAACAGAGATATTTTTGAATCAAAAACTACTGCATAACACTTGGAGAAGGTGTGTAATCAGAATACTGCAGTCTGTTTCATATAGAAACAGAGAAATAGAGATCTGGTTTAATTACCCTTTATTATGTACGTTTTAAGTGCACTCAAAGAATATCATACAATATTGTATCTGTAACTTGTTTTCACTTAAGACTGGAATTCAAACACCTTCCAATTAAAAACCTCAAAAATAAGTATTTTTTTAAAAAAAAATATTAAAACACTTGTACAGTAGATTATCTTTTGTCTTTAAAATGGAACCTAGTCATATTTATATGGTGAAATAGAATGTTCAATGTCAGAGCAGAAAATAAATAAAGTGAGATTATAATTAGCCAATTTAAAATACATAAAAACCTACTGGAATAAAAATGGCTTAACTGCTTGTCTAGAAAACAGCAGAGAAAAGGCCAGTTTTCCAGTCTGGAAGCCTATTAAGAAGCCCAAATTTACCACAAGCTTACTACTTGAAGATCACTGAAATAATTAATGCACGACTTCAATGAATTTACATATTAAATCTATTAGGACTTGAATAGTATATTCTATGATGTGTTTATTTAATATTTCATATGATATACTGACTTTCTAAATAAGATGTTTTCAGAATTCATAGGTACTATGCAAACCAAATCCCACTGAAATTAATGAGATTTATCACTAAAACTAATGTTCACATTAATTGCAATGGTAATTCTCATGGAAGTTACATTGAATTTTAAGGCATAGACACCCCCAAGTCAGGTTTAATTCTTGGTGGCTTCATGGATTTACTTAATCAAGTTCCTGAACAACTATACAGACAGTCCTCATTTAACAACTGCCGCATTTAATGATGGTGATGAAAAAGTAACTTTACGACCAATCCTCTCAAGTATGACTTTCTGTAGTCCATAAAAGCAAAGGAAAGCTGAAATATGATTACAAGCAGAATCACGGTTTCATTGGGTGGCTACTTTGCTTAACAACTGAATTGCTGTTCCCAATTTTGGTCACTAAATGAGGACTACCTGTATAGAAGGGTTAGGAATTGTTTTCATCTGACCTTGGCAATTTAAATTTATTCAAAGTAACAAGATTTTAAAGTAACAAGATTTTTACTGACTATATGAAGTAAATGAGATTTTACTTGACAAAGTAAAAAGAATTTACTATGTTTCTATCAAACTCAAGTCTCAATGATGCCCTTTCATCCTGCTCTTAAAAATTGCCTGATGGAACATTTTCTTTCTTGTTGGCAAAGAATTAGTCTAAATAGAAGTAGAGTAGTTCTATCTTTCCATTGTTACCTGTTACCTTTTAGCATTATCACTTAGCAGCTGATATACTGATCCTTTTATTTTCCTTTTATTTTGAAGACAGCTGGGGTAATCTTTTTTTTTTTTTTTGCTGTTCTAAAGTTTAACCTTGCTGACATCTTCTCTATAATTCCAGACTATAACTATAGATATGGGTATGATCTGATCTTCTTTCCACTGTACATATGTATCCTTTTTTGTTTTAGTTTCCCCACTGCTTCTAAACATGGAGAAGGTACAGCACGAATTGAAGTGGAGAAGGAAGCAATTGTTTCCAATTAAATGCATACTTTGTAGGTTGCAAGACCTGGAAATGGTTGTAATGGTGGTGATTTAATAATTTATTTATTTAATTTATTTAGTTTGTCAAACATGTACAAGATAACAGGTATAAGTAGAAACATAGACATGAGCACAGGTAATGAGTACAAATAAATGGTGACAGTGGGACAGGGAAGGTAGGCACACTGGTGCG